CCAAAAAATAGAAAGGAAAACTGATCTAGTTGGTCAAATCTAGTCATCACACATGAGATAAAAAATTAGCTTAGAAAGTCCTGCCAACCTGTCAGAGACACAAACATCACCAAAGAAAAATAAAAGTGGGTTCAGCATAGAGAAAGACAGAGGAAATCCTGGTAGAGAATTGACAGTAGAAGAAGCTGAGCTTGTCTCAAAGTGAAAAAAACAATCAGTGAAAATAAGGTATAGTGTTTTTGTTGTTCTTATTAGCAAAATGTAAACAGAAATAAAATTATCAAAAAGCTGTAATATATAACATTATCAAGAATGTGGGCAAGTGGCCACTTTCATGTATTGTTGATGGGAACACGTTACTAAAAACTTTTTGGAAAACAATAAGGAAATATCTGTTAAATTTAAAAACATACATGTGCATTGGCTAACAAGTACAAAGTAACAGAAGGAATATCTATCAAGCTCCTGAATTAAAATCTATAGTTTAAAAAGACCATCAAGTGACTTGTGTTCACCTTAAAAAAGTTTAAAAATCACTGGTGTAAATGACACAATAACTAATTCACTTTTTAAAAGTTACATCATCATCAGCAGAAGTCATTTAGATGTGGCACCTACTGAAAACTGGTATTTCATGGGATTGTGTAGCATAGCATGTGACACAATTGATGAGAATAGATTGTAACAAAATATTTGTTATATTTTGAATATGAGATGTCCTGGAGAAGATCCTGTTTTATTGCCAGAATGTTTGCAGGTAAAATTATTGGATTGTGATAGCTGTAAACAAACCAGTCCGTTCATCCTAGAATGGAGTGGGTGGTAACTGTAGACAGGTGGGATGTGGCTGGAGGACCTGGGTCACTTGGGCATTACCTGGAAGGGTTCATCTTCCCTTCAGCCCTTTTCTGTCTTTTTCTCTTCTTCCTCAATGCCATGAATGGACCATCTTTCCTCCGCCAAATGTTTTGCCTCATCTTGGGTTTTCCTCCCTTAAGTTATTTCTGTAAAGTATTTTGGTCACAGCTTCAGAATGCTGACTGACATAATATTACAAAATACCTAGAAGAGAAAATTTTGAATGTTCTCACCATTAAGAAATGATAAATGCTTGAGGTGATGGATATTCTGATTGTCCTGATTTGATCCTTATGCAATGTGCACATGTATCAAACAGCACATTGTATTCCATAAATATGTACAGATTTTTTGTCAACAAAATATA